AGCATTTAAAGACGTTCACAAAAGACATCGAAAAGTAAAGACATCAAAGTAGGACCTCCTGTTGTGGCCCATGAGTTCCTACGTCCAAATAAATTGCCAGTTTCATATCCGCCTCAGACGCCCTTCACTGGACTATCCTCAACATAAATCAACTGGCTGGCTTCCAATAAATGTTCATGTTGGTGCTTAACAACATGTTGGAAGATCCACCCAGTTTGCCACAATTAGTTCTGTCCGCTTGAGCTCCGGCACGGCCCTGTGCTCGTTTTCTCATGCAAGCCCGGTTAATTTCATGGGATTAGAGGCACCGCTAAACTGGGATTTTTTTTTTTTTTCCTATAAAATGTCCCAGTGAAGCTACTGAGGGGCGTAGATTATGAGCTTGACCCAGAGACAAAACAGTCGGGGGGCTGCCAGGTCACTGCTTTTTAAGAGGCGGCGCTACCACTAGCCGGGTCCATAAAGTCTGTGACTGATGACGAGAACGCAGGGAATAGACTTTCTCCCCTTGTGCGACCAGCTGGTGGTAAACCTGAAAAGGACGCTTCGAGCTGGGAGATCGAGCGTAATGTAACAAGCACCCGGTGTTTGCTTAGCCAACATGGCCAGCTGTTTTGGGGACATGAATGTCACAAACGTTCAGAAATACGTGCTGCTTCTTTTTTTCTTAAGATTACATCAACGGCTAGAGGGATAGAAAAAAAAAGGGATCAAAAAACACACAGAAAGCCAATAGGAAGAATCATTGCAGCTCTGCTTACCTTTTGGATTTGACATGATAGCAGCCTGTGAGGAATGTGGGATTTTTCTGCATTAGAATGCCGTCACATGAATGTTTGCGACAGTCCACGGGCCCCCACTCATGTCTTTTGCAAGACGTGGCTCTGGATCTTATACCCAGCCGAGCAGATCGTGTCATGACTGGAAAAAAAATCCAATTTGGTGGTGTAAATTCACAACTCGCTCACAAACGCATCTTCAGAAATAGGCAGATAAGCGTAGGATTTATTTCCTTGTCTTAATTTCACCCTTGACTGGTGGGTAGGCACTTCAGAGACTCCCATCATTTGGATTCAAACAATTAAAAGTGGCCAAAGGCCCTCTTTCAAATACCTTTGAAATATCACCTTGGCAAAATGGAAATTGCTGGAAGGAGTTTTGAACATGAAACAAACCTGTTAGAATGATCCGGGTTTTGTCAAAGAGGTCAAAGGACAAGACTCACTAAGATCTTCGAGGAACAATATTTTTCGCCAAGGCAGTGCAGTCCTGATGACCCTCGCGGCCTCGCCTTTGGTCTCTTCTCTGGAAGATGTTGCTAAAGCGGAACCTCTTTTCAACGTTACTTACAATGTTTTCACCCACTATAACGATCACATTTCAAAGTCCCGATCTCACGTTTTTCATGTCGATTTTGCTTACAACGAACGCCTTCATAACGTAAACTTCATTATCGCGACCAGATTTTTCCGACAAAATAGTGAAAATGTCTTTGTCACAACGAACCGTGGGAAGTTAACTTCCACCTCGACCTTGCTTATCAACAAAATTACAGCGCGGGAATCCCCTCCGTTGCTTAGCAACGTTACGATCGACTCTTAATTGCGTTCGTCCGGAGCACATGGTCTGAAAACATATCTAGTAAACAACAGCAAATCTCGCTTTCTGTGAAGGCTGAAATCGTCTCTCGCTTTCGAAAGGGAGTCTCTCAGCCAAGACCACGACTTGGCTAGGTCAACAATTCCGATAATCATCCGTTGGGCAACAAAATCATGGCAAAGGTTTGAGGCCAAAAGATGAAAAAAGATTAGCGTAAACGGCTTCGGGGCGCGGCACTTCCAGAACTGGAGACGGCACTTCTCATTTGTTGACCGAATGTTTTCTTCATACCGTATACGCGTATTTGTAATTGACGTGTATATACTGTACAACATGTTCATGTTTTTTTTTTTTGTGGTTTTTTTACATCTATAAAATGTTCATACCGTCTTAGTGGGCGGCCATTTTATTGGAAATGGTTACCACGAACAACCATCACATACAGATTCGTTATATCCCTCGAGGTACGTTCTACCCGGATTCGACTGTAGATAGTAAGTATTGATCTCTGTAAACATTTGTGGTCTGTTCACCCTTTTTTATTACATGTCTCCGAAAACAAAAAAAAAATCTTATCATCTTCCTGGAGCGGGTCACATGTAAGATGGTAACTCCAGCGTTCCCTGGACAAGAAAGCAATATTATGGGATTAGGGAGACGCTATCTGTATTCATTCAAACCGAGTCATAAACCTGCCCTGACAGATGCTGCCTTTTTCCTTGTTTATTGTGCAGCGCTGCTCTCGAGTCGGCCCATTAAGACCCCACAGCAAATAACGTTCTCGTTGCAGTTTGAGTGAATGCCGTGCAGCCCACCGTTCTGCTTTTCATGTTTCAAAGGTGGTGGATGCTGTCTGATGTGGATGTGCCGGGTTGCCGGGGGCTCACTTCCTCTCATCTTTATCTCTGAGAGATGTTACAGAACAGACTATTTCCCCGATCCCTGATAAGTTTGAGTTGTATATTTATTTTGGACAAGCCATGAGTGCAAGTCGAGGCGTGCGAAAGTGGACAATGAGCCAGCGGCAAGCGCGGCTTCGTATCAACAATAACGACGCTTGTCTTTGCAGAGGACATTACAAAAAAAATAAAATAAAGTGGCACTCTTGAGCATGCTTGGGGGATGTTGGACTATCTCGGACGAATGGCTCTCTGCAGTCGTGCCGCTGCGATGAAGTCACACAACGAAGGGAGCTCAAAAACAAGGTTGGATCAGATCACAAAAAGTTCAACCTCAGCGGTTGAAAGCGAGGCATCGCTGTTTGAAAATCCTGACAGATTACGATGCTTGTGTAACGCCTTCTCTTCGGGATATTATGTAAGGCCACCGTGTTTTCCTAGATGCCAGACAGCCAAGTACGAGTATGAATCGTTTGCCTGCTCTTTGTCGGGATAATGGGTTGATATAACAAGCGCAAACCGAGGGAGCTCCGGGCAAGAGGTTCAGTCAAAGGTTCGATGTAAGTAAATACATTCGCGGGTGATCGTCACGCTCCGATATAATACTCAAAGCACCGGAAACTAATAGTGCTGTTATTCATTCTTCATGCATTAGTCATCCGCGATGCATTTGCGGCTCTCTGGGCGTACTTGGATGCGGCAGGAAGGAGGACGATCAGATGGGGGGAGGCGGGGGGTAAGAAAAATACTAGCCCCAGCTTTTGTACATTTGTACATATGTGGATTTCAAGTTCCATTTCAGTATATTTGAAGTGTTTAAACCCTTTTCCTGCACCCTGTAACTTGATAAACATGATAAGCTGTCCACTGCAGTAACTGCTGCCCCCAAAAGGGTTAAAAGACACCCCCGTTGGAGGAAAAAATAAAATGTGTTCCAAATTTTGCTTTCATTGGTCCAAGTCTTGAAATTTGACACGCAGTTAAACGCTTCACGCTTAACGACTAAATTATTCGGGCAACAGCGAAATCAAAGTGCGATTGGGATCCAGACTCGTTGCCAAACTAGCCAAGACACAAAGAGCCATCCGTCACCGTCTGAGCGCTTTTGTTCTCGCTGGTCTTTGTCTCGCCACACCGAGATAAAACATTCTAATTATCGTTTGCCAGCCATAGATTACTCCGTTTTTTTTTTTCCACGTGATTGCCACTTCGAGATCGATGAGCGGGCCCAAAATGCTCCACCGGATCGTGCTGGACTCGACCATTCGGCGGTGGTGATCGCGGGCTTTGTTTCCGTTGTGGCGTCTTTGTTGAATTTTTGTGTCGACAAGACGTAAATGGACCGCAGGACGGCCATGTCGGATTAGGATATCCCTTGAATGACAGCACATTTTGATAATTACTTTTCATCCATCCTTTCGCCGACAACCCGGTGTTGTCGTCGTCCTAAATAAACACCGGTCGAGAATTGAGCCACCGCAGCATGTTTGATCAGGTTAATAGCATTGTGTCACAGAGTTTGAAATAATCCCCAGTTAAACTTGCGCTCACATCAATATCCGATATTTCAATCATGCGCGGCGTGCGGCGCATGCCTCGCCGCGTTCCGACCTTGCTTATGAATCGCAAATCACGATAGCGGCACGCCATACATCACTGTCACAGCGCAGGCTGTTGCAGCCACATGCTGGTAATTTATCTTTCGTGATGAAATTGAGTTTAATTTGTTGCAGCTTTTCTTGCGAGCCCAGAAAAAAACAAAAAAAGGGTTGTTGATGCCTCGGCTTTTAAGACTATAGTGGTATCTCGGAGTCTGATGAAGTGGCTTCTCTGTCGGGGATTTGCGTTGAGCTCTTCCGCACAATTAATCATCGATGATGTTGAGTTTGAACTTTATATTGCGTTCGTCTTGTTGAAAGGTGTTTTGAAGACATTGCTGGATTGATGTTGACGAAACTTGAGGACGGAGACATCCGAGTTCCTCTCCAAACTTTTATCGCGGTGACCCATCTCGCTCACTCATGTTTTCAGCTTACGTAAAAACGTTACGTAACTTTGTGATCCCTGCAGCTTTGCTTTGAGGATGAGAGTCCCGTTGAGCATCACTAAAAGGACGTGCAAGTTTGTTGCTGTGAGGTGGGATTTCCAGATTAGGATTTTTACAGCCGTGTATGAAGAACATGATTACGTAGATGTACTCTATGTCTGTTATGGCCGTTAACATCACATCCAGGCAGAGACAGCGGCTGCCCTTTTAATGGTTCAGCACTCATAAGAAAAACATTTTCTTATGTAACCTTTTTTTTTTTAATACACAGCAGAAAAAAAAAGTGTCATGGCTGTAAGTCGGAGGGAAGCTAAGCAGACCAGGGAAAAATTTTGCAGTCTGTATCCTATCTGAAACCCCTCCCTCAAAAAAAAAAAAAAAAAAAAAAATCCGGACATATTGCTGTCAAATAAAATAGAATAATGGCAAAAGATTAGGTAAGAGAAAAATGGATTGATTAGTGACTATTTATTTCACAAACAGTGTCGTGAGCAAGGTTTAATAATCCGACAGCCAATTGTCGGCGTGGCCTGGCTTTTAAAGGCAGCTAAGGAATATTTCGGGCCAGGTGCGGCTCATGAGGGAACGCCCGCTCTCCAACTGGAGACTGGAAAAAAAACAAAAAACTAAGCAGACAGGACAGGAGCGTGACAGTTTCTAACCGATGCGTCCTTGGTTTAAGCTAGCCCACAAAAACAACATCCAGGTATTCCGTGGGTTCTTCTGTGTGTGTGTGTCTGTGCGATTGTAAAAGTCTGTTTAAAGACCCTTAAAAAAATGAAGCGCCATAAATGCTATAAAACACACCGCTGGAGTATTTAAACTTCTATATCGCAGATTTTACTCATTGCGTCGGTGGTCTGGAACATAAACCCCTGCGATGGAGGCTGGCAGGGTGGGGGGGGCAGTAAATGACTCCTCCAAGGCCGGATATGGATGATCATTTTGAAGATGTGATAGATACTGTCCATCATAAGTTCTCCCCCTCGAGTCTCATTTCTGGGCAATTAGGAGAGCCCAGTAAATCAATCAGCGTCAATTAGAGCCGCGCTCCAAGCGAACCACATCCTGGGAGTGGGACGCACTTTCTGCACTTAACAGCGGCCGACACAATCGCACTAGGAAAGCCCCCTAAAGTGGACGGGGAGGGCGAACTGGCACATACAAAAGCGGTTGCCGCCTTTTATCCGTTTGGAACCGAAATATCCGACTGAGCGAGGGCACGCGCTGAGCAGGAGGCCTGCGACGGAAGCGCTCCGTTTGGCTTTTTTTGATGGTATGATTCAGCGACCGTTAAGACACACCGCACATCGGCACGTCATTTTACATGAGAAGTAGACTTCTCTTCAAAGCTCCCCTCTGCTCCAGGCTGCCTCTGATTTTTATTTTTTTTTTTTGGGGGGGGTACCTTTCCACCCACCGTGATGGGAAAGAATGAACTCCTGTGAAGGGAGTTGGCACTCACTAGCTTCCTGTGTAGTGCTCGAGTAAATGCGTAAGTGTGAATATTGCACCTTCACTTTCAGAAATAGACTGGGCGACACATTTGACTGACGGCGCGAATTACAGAAGCGGGCCGCAGATATTTTGATAGCTCATTTGCATCTGTAGCGGTTGCGTCGGTCTGGGAAGACCAAAGCTGGAGAAAACATTTGGACCGAAAGGCAGACAAAATGCAGCGCGTCGAAAACAGAACACCGCACGCACGGCGATACATTTTTCAACAGTAAACATGTATCGTTGTGTCGGATTTTGAAGTGAGCTCATCATTTATGGATGCTTGTCCCATATACGGTATACACTCAACGAAAGTATGGAGGAAAAAGTAGCCATTACGCCTATAAAATATAAATACAGACAAAAGTATGGTCTCCCTCCCTTTATCGTCGCTCAAGACAGTTTCTGCTCTTCTAGGAAGACAGACACACGTGTAAATGGGGTGGGGGGGGTGAGGGGGGATTAAAACCTATCTGACCCTAGATCAAAAAAAAAAAAAAATGTACAGCAATTGGCCCGCCCCTTGTACGAGTAAATCATGAGTCGATTGTTCACCACAGTCCAGAATGAGATTAAATTGAAAACCCCGCGACCTTAAATGGGCAGTTTGTGCTTTAAAAAGCCTCCAATCGAAAACAATTGAAGAATGCCAATCAGGCGGGTGGGCAAAATTGATCCAAAAGCGATACGAAATCAGCACATCACCCAACATCGCAAAAACGGGATTTCAGTTACTGCTTCGAAGGCGAATCTCTTACCTTATGTTTTTTTTTTTTTGTTTTTTTTTTTAAAGCACCCACAAGTAGTCATTTATTCGATCCTGTATTACACGAAACAATATCGGATTTATTACACAGGGTCTTACAATTTGTTCCCCTCAATAAATCAAATCGTCATTTCGTAACTTACTTGATATTGACATGGGCGATCATAAAATGCAATCGTTGATTGCATTTGACACTTTTTTTTCCCCCCCAAATCTGTGACAAGGCAATTTCCCAAATCAATTCTCTCTTCCTTTAGGGGCCCCACTGCTGTCGCAAGCGCTCTCGGTGCTGATGCGTGACTCATTCGCTGCTCATTACCGCTCCAGCTTCTCCGCTGGGTTATCTGATGGCGCGAGCCTGGTGCTGGTGGGGGCGGGCTGGCAACCACTGTGGCCGATGAACGCGCGCCGCCATTGGCTGGTGGGATCCATTGAATCCGTCGTTGACTACTACAGGACCCACCCCCACAGTCCTCCCCCTTCGCTCTGTCTGCCCCGACAGCATCCAAACAGCGCGTGCTGCCTCCGTTCCAGGGGAGAATATCGTCTCAGCGCAGGGAGGAGAGGATTAACGCCACCGCGCAGCTCATCTGCATACGTGTTCCGAGGGAAGCGCATGAGGCCGTTTTGGTCTCGAGCCTTTTGTCTGCTCCCACCAAGTCTTCTTCGCGACCGCCGTGTACCAGGACTCCTCTCGTGTGGACTCATCGAAGTCATTTCAAGCTCACCTCGCTGACGTTTCGGCAGGGACTTGTGCTCTTCATGCTCGGACCTGGCGGCTGTCTCTTCACCTGAGCCGGGAGACGGCCGAGCCGAGGATGCCGTCGAAAGAGCCGTATGAGGCTCACGAGGAGGACAAGTCGCTGGTGCAAAGGGCCAAACGAGAGGCCAACCAGGAGGAGATTTTGGCAGCCGCTCTGGGGATGAGGATGGGGCCCGAGAAACCGACGGCCACTTTCTGGCAGCCGCTTAAAATCTTCGCCTATTCGCAGCTCACCTCTTTGGTCCGGAGAGCCTCGCTGAAGGAAACCGACCTGGTGCCGATATCAGAGAAAGTCCACAACTTCAAGGTGAGAGTGAGATTCCAAAGCAAACTTCAGGGGCGGCTTGCGTGACCTTTCGAAACGTTGGGTTCTTTTCATCATGTGTGGCTGGAGGCCAGCTTCTCACGCTTCCACAGAGGGAAATGCGATGGGAACGTTTTGGGGGGGGGGGCAGTCGCCGAGTAGAAGATGCGATTAAAAACAACCGTTTTGGTGTGTCCGATGAAAAGAAAATCTGTGGGGTGCCCTGTGAAGCGCCGCTGTTAATTTGAGTGCCAGATGGAGAAATTAGGCCGATGGAGTAAGCAAAAACAGCGCTCGAGTGTACTGTATGTCCACATGCCGTAGTACCAGCGCTCGTGTTTTGGTCTGCTTGGAATTGAGAGCGGGAAGGGAAATGTTACTAGCAAGGCTTTGAACTGCTGCCGCCCTCTTGCCTCCTTCTTTGTTCCCATCTCTTACGACTAAATGTTCCTTTTTAACATATAATGAGCGCAGTTCCTGTATTTAAAAGCCATTACCAAGAAAACCACAACATCCAAGACCCCAGATGGAGCCTTCTGATCTCAGGAGGCGACCAATTTTTTTTCCTGTTTTTTTTGTGGTTATTGACGTTCTCTTTTCCCCCCAAAAAAAACAAGTTTCAGAAATGAAACATTTCAATTCAGGCAAGAGGCAGTACAGATTTTTGTTCTCCAACGGCAGCCTCAATCTGCGGATTGCAAAGTAAAACGTTCAGCTCGATGTCGGCGACACGATTATTTCGACGATTTCTCGATTTGTCTGCTTGAAGCCTCAAACTGCCGCTTCCGGGCTCCCAGGGGCCTTCCTGATTGGCTAGCTGTTGCTACCTGGTGGAATTGGCTGTTTCCATAGCAAATTTCCCATCATGCTCGTGGGGTGCACCCCCCCATTCCCCCTCCTACACAACCCCCCCCCC